TCATCAATTTGCTCGGCCAAAAAAGCACAGGAAGCTCAAAACATGTTCTTTCACCTGTTTTTTTGCCTTGGGAAAGTGTCAGAAACGGTAAAAAACGAATTTTTTTTTTGAAATTATTATTCCCAGAGGGTTGTACTTTTCGTCCAAAAAGTAAAAAAAAATGGRTGATAGGCACTTTAAAAGATGATGAAATCATGGTTTAAAGTGATTTGTTTGTTCAAATATGGCGACTGAAGTTTCCTCCCTTGTCAGAATATATAATCATCGCCAGAAAACTCGAATCATAGTGGGAGGTGCTTATTTAAGTTCACTCGGCCATATCAAATCATCTGTCAATCCTCGTATTGTCTGAGCGTATACCTGATTGGTTCATGTGCTCGAAGTAATTAGCATAATCTAAGGAATTCAACCRGAATTCAAAATGGCGGCTGGTCGCGAAAGACGAGAAAAAGGGTTTTATTCAACTTTAAACAATGTTTCTTCTGCGGATATTCTTCCCAAGTCTCAAACTACTAGAATCAAAGGAAAGGGGAGACTATGGGAAGTGGAGCGACTCATCACGAAGCGAGAAAATGTTACGGTGAGTTGAATTTCTTTGTTTCTGGTAATTGATAAGCATACATAATTCATAAATAAACTTATTGTAGTGCTTATAGAATTCTGCTTATGTGCTATTTTTATTCGCTAACAGGGGACTACTGAATACTTAGTTTTGTGGCGGGGATATTCTCCTTTCGATTCCACCTGGGAACCAGAAGAAAATATTTCACTTGATTGTGTCCGGTATGATTTATTGATTTTTGCTGCTTACAAGYTATTTAAGCTTTTATTATGTATTGAATATTTACAGCAGCATACAAAAATAAAACACCACTATATATACAATATATTTTAAAAATGGGGAAGTTTTCTGTGGTCAAAGGTGCATCATTTACTAATCGCATTTTATTGATTTCCTTTTCAGGTTTTTCAATAATCCAGTAATTGAGGAAACTATCATTTTTTCAGAAGTAACTTCATTCAGGGTTGCGGTTGAGAAACACCTTAAATCAAAATCAAGGCTTCCAGTAACCATCTCATTCAGGGGAGACGTTTATAAATCCCTTTTTGAGGGAAAATGGACACTTHATGAGAGATGGCACTTGTTAGAAAAGTCAGCTTTCCCAAGGAAGTATTTTCCAGAGTTTTGGGATTACTCTGCAGATTCCCATGGCCAGGGGATAAAAGTCTTTTACCCCATGAAAGTTAGATCTTATATCTCCCGGTCACCCAAAAAATATAGTGTACTTGAAGGGCACCATCCAACACCAAGAGCATTTCAGGAGAAATTGACTTTTTCTTTCATAAAAGTAGCTCTTGGTGATGATTCTAATAATTAACTTATACCCTTTAAGCTTATATCTCTTAATAAGAATTCATAAATGAATACTGTATTATAAATAATCAATGAACAAAGCACAATAGAAAATCTTAATCATATTCAAGTCTGTAAATCAGATACAGACTCATCCTCATTTGCATTCCACTTAATAAACATAGATATTTTGGCACTATGCTGATATGGCTAGCCATTATAAATGCCCATGA